GGGCTAAGGGAGACCCCGTCTCAAAAGCACCCCAAAAAAGATGGCTTAATGAGAGAGGTAATCTAATTAGAGCTATCTGTGGCATAATAGATCAAAATCAATTTTAATTAAAGATTTAAATATTCAAGAGAGGAAGTAAGCCATCTTGAATCTTGAAAAAATGTATTCTGCAGAGAAAAGTCTAAAGTGAAAATTAAAAAAATAGAAATTCGCCTGAAAGTCCATGTTTCCTTTAGGGGCTTGTGGGCATTTCCTGTGTTTCTTTTAGTGGGGCTTTTGGGCTTTTCCAGCTTCCAGAGCTGCTTGTGTCAAAACCCCCTCCCCCATATACTCTCACTCTTGCTCTCTCTGGTTCTCTTGCTCTCCTACCCCCACTCTCTCTCTCTCATTAGTTCTCTGACAAAATCCTTGACAAACGCACCATCCAGGAGGAAGGACTTATGGCTCAGGATTCCAGGGGGTTCTACTCCATCATGGCAGGGAAAGAGTGGCAGTGGGAGCATGAGTCTTCCACTTCTCCCAACTTGGTGGATCAGGAAAAAGATTAGCACTTAAAGGAGTCAGAGATAATAGCTTACCTCCAGTGACTCACTTCCTCCAGCTAGCCCCAACTTTTGAAAGGTTCTACAACCTTCCAAAACAGCACTACCAACTGAGGACCAAGTGTTCAAACATATGACCTGTGAGGGACATTTCACACATAAACCATAATATCTTCCCTCTGTCTTTTCCCCACCTCCTCTATCCCTCTCTTCCTCTACCCATCTCTCCTCTTTTCCTGTATCGTACCTTCTCTGACGCCTCCTTCTACAAGGACTTGTGTAGTTACATCAGACCTACCCAGAGAAGCCTGGGATATCTCCTATGTCAAAATCAATGGTATCTGCAGGGTCCTTGTTACCATGTAAAGGGACAGATTCACAAGTTCCAGAAATTAGGACTTGGGTGTCTTGGGGGGTGGTGGTATTGTTCTGACTACCACAGTAATACAAAGCCAGACATAGGGGTGTGACCAGAAGCTAAGTTTGTGTCCAGGTAACCCTACCAAGGAGGCAGTTCCTCATGCCACCCCTTTCAATACACAACAGAGTTTGCCAAGTGGAGACAGTCTATTCTGATCCATTTTGTTTGCAGAGCCTCGCCCCAAGGAAGCATTAGTTTTGCTGAGGGCTAACAAGGAACTTCACATCACAGTAAAGCCCCTTCATGCCTTCTCCAAAGTCCTGGGGAAGCAGGACTCAACAATCAGCCACAAGTGACATTTGTTCTACCTTTGCTTTCTAGCAATGGTCTGAAAAATAGCCCAAGTGAATCTGTGGAAAGTCACAAACTGTCATAAAAGGAACCAGGAACAGATGAGATAGATCTGTATGCTTTTAAGCCAGGGCCCGATTCTGTGAACGCACATGTTGCCATGTTTTCTTTAACTTCCTTCATGCTGACCTTAGCATGTATACTCCTACTCCCTGTTTACAGATGAGGTTACAGAGAGGTTCAAGAACAACAAGCCCAAATTCACCCAGCTTGGACGTGGGGTAGTGAAGCAGAGACATGCACTTAGGGCATGCTTATTCCACAGCTTGTGTTCTCATCCACCGACTCTTCACACACGGTAAATTCCACCCACAAATTTGAGCCAAGGATTTGGGAGCAACGGAGATCAGTTTGCAAGACTCACTAGAGTTACCCCACTGTACCCCTCCCGCCCGCTTCTTCCCCTCTCTCCTCACCTGTCTCAGACAGTTCCATGGTCCAGGACTCCCACCAAGGCCAGGGCTAAGAAATGTGAACTGTCTTGGCTTTTTTTAGCTCATGTGAGCCCTTTGAGAATTGCATGTAAGACAGATTAATCCCTTTGCTTAGGAAAAAAAAAAAAAGTATATACACATAATGTTCCAGGGAGCCCTAATCAACAGGATTTTTAGAAAAAAAATATTGGCCAAAGATTAAAATCATAACAAGATATTATCTCACCCTAACTATATTTTTTAATTAAAAAAAATTTATGTGTATGCGTGTATTGCCTGCATGTAGGTAAATGCACCCGTGTCATGCAATGCCCACAGAGGTCAAAAGAGGCTGTCGGATCCCCTGGGACTGGAGTTACAAACAGATGTTAGCTGCTGTGTGAGTGCTGGGATTTGAACCTGGGTCTTCTGCAAGAGCAAGCAGTATTCTTAACCACTGAGCCATCTCTCCAGCCCCAAATGTTATTTTTTTTTAAAGAAAACAAAATGGGAACTGGAAAGATGGCTCCCTGTTTAAAAGAGGACCCTATTGAAGAGGACCCAGGTTCAGTTCCCAGCATCCACATGGCAGCTAACAACCATCTGTCAACTCCAGTTCCAGGGGCTCTAATGCCCTCTTCTGACCTCTTTGGGCATTGCATGCATGGATGCACTTACATGCAAGCAAGGCAAAGGCAGGCAGATCTCTGTGAGTTCAAGGCCAGGCTGGTCTACACAGTGAGTTCCAGGACAGCTGGGGCTACAGGGAGACCCTGTCTTAAAAAAAAAAAAAAAAAAAAAGACCAAAAAACCCCACTCATACATAAAATAGTAAATAAAAATTTAAATAATAATAAAAAGACAAAATAGTGGAACATGCCTTTAATCTCAGCACCTTGGAGGCCAAGACAGGAAGATTGCCACACATTCAAGGCCAGCCTTGGCTACATAATAAACCCTCAGAAGCAAACAAACAAAAAGCAACAAATGTTGTTGAAGACACAGAGGGGAACTGCTGGTGGGGACATAAATCTGTTATTATGGAAAGCCAGATAGAGATCCCTCAGAAATTAGAGACAGAGCCAGACTAGGGTCCAGCAATGCCACTATTGGGCATATATCAAGGAAACTGAAATCAAAGATGCATCTGACATTAGAGCCAACTTTCATTTTACTTACTGACCATACTCTAGGGTCTACCAATGATGAGTTAGAAGCTCTGCACCAATCCAGTACTCTCTGACTTGGAAGAGAATTCTTTATCCCAAAGAATAACATTGCTTATGGTTGAAAGAGCATGTTTGAGCACAAGATTGAAAAGCTTCATTGTGGACATCAGCATACTCTGTGGGACAGCAAACAGATGAGCATGTATAACAGGGCTGTTGCGAGGTTAAATGAGATCTGTAAAGCACTGAGCACAAGCTATGTGTGTGATGGGTGTTCCCTATTATGGAAGGCAAACATCTGAATGGGCACTAATTATATATGAGTCTTCTGCTATTGAATTAATTTACTCCCTTATCATAAAATCCTCATTACATACTATATTACTATAATTTGTTATCACTTGTATTTCCTATTAGGTTGTAAGCTCCCTGAGGACAAATATCTTGTCTATTTTTCCCTTATATATCCCTGAAATCAAAAATGTTTTGCTCTTAGCTTGCCTTTAGCAGGTTGGCCTCCAACTCACTATGTAGCTGAGGATGACCATGAACTCCTGATCCCTCGGCCTTCACCTCTTGAGTGCTAGGATTACAGGCTCGCAATATCACAACAGTTTGTGCAATGCTTGGGGATCCATCCCCGGGCTTCCTGCTTGCTACACAAGCACTCTACCAACAGCACACATCCTGCCCATCCTTTAGCTTGTCTTAATAATCGAACATGATTCTCCTTAATTTTTCATATATTTGGACCTATTTTAGAGAGGAAAAAATAATAATGAATCTCTATGGACTACCTATTATTTGACAGACTTTGTTTTGATCTCTAATTTCATATGGTCTTATTGTCGTTTTTTTAGCAACTACTTTGCCTGTGTGTAAACTGAGGTCGTGGTTGTACGCCTCTGAGAATTCCTATTTCCTCCCATCAGCGCTTATCTCAATTTGCAGTTACACAAAGAAGTACCGGGTTTTTTTCCCACCTAAGTTCTTCCATTCCACTAGACTGTTTTCTCCAAGAGACGTGTCTGCATCTGCCAAGGATGGTGCTTAGCAAGTAGGTATATAACTAATTACAGAGTCTTTTTAAATTTGTTTTTACATTTGTGTGTGTGTGTGTGTGTGTGTGTGTGTGTGTGTGTGTCCTGGGGAATTAAACTCAAGTCATCAGGCTTGGCAGAATGCACCTTTACCCACTTGCAGGCCAAGTCACAGGGGCCTTTGTGGTAGGTACATGGACAACAAATAAGTAAATGAGCTCAGAGTGAACATGGGAGTCGAAGTTCAAAGAAACCAAGCCTGTGCCAGTGTTCAAGCCACCATTTTACTGAGTCTGCACTATTCACAACGAGAAAAGCCTGCCCCGTGGGATCTGAGGAGTTGCTCGACATGATTCGTGTAGCCATGGCTATGCTTAATAAAGTGTATTTACAATTGTGCGAGCAAATTCCATTCTCTGTGACAAACTCTATAGAAGGAATAAAAAATGCAACAACTTTACATGCTTCACGGTCGACAGCTACATTCTGGGGAATTTGCTTTTGACAGTGAATATTCCAGAAAGAACTAAATAATTCAAGAAGACCCTGGGACTCTATCTCTACAAGCTCTTTGCCTCTCTGCGAAACTAATAGGATACACAACTTATTTAAATGTAAATTTAAATGCAGCTTTTTCTCCGCCTCTCTGCTCTTTGTTCCTGGCTGATAAGGAGGTTTCCGGACCATGCATGCTAGTCTCCAATATACGCGTGTACTACGCTCGGTACGACACATACTAGTCTCCAAGACACACGTGTACAGTTCTCGTGGGACAGGACTGAAGTGTCTGGGATTTAAGTGTTGTTTCCACAACCGAGGAAGGAATGCGTGCTGGAAACACCAGGCTTGTCTCAAGTCCTCGGAGGAACGCGGGCGCGAGCCAGTCCTCCAACCAGGACGCCGTTACTAGGCAACCACAGGCGTGCTCAACCGCCGCCTCAGAGCTTCTTCCTCGCCCTCATCGCCAAGGAGATGGACGCCCCAACTCAGCCCTGCCGTAAACCCACACGCTCTTTACGACACTACCGCGCCCGCCAGTGCGTGCGCGCCCTCTGCCCCCGCCTCCACACTCCGCCCCGGCCGCCATTGCCTCGTGCCCGCGCCGGTCGGTTGGTGGCGCCTTTGTCCTACGGCGGGCTGGTGGGCTGAGGCCGAGCAGCAGCGGCGGGCCTGAGGCGCAGGAGCGGCGGGGAGCCCGCCGCGCTGGTAGCGGTGAGTGCCGGGAAGCGGTGGCCGTCCGCCGAGGCGTAGGGCAGATGGGCAGGCGGTTGAGGGGGACGCTGTGGCGGGAGGGCCCGTTCGACGCGCGGCCGCGGCCTCTCGGCTCCGGGCGCGCGCGGTGCTGCGCATGCCCGGTGCGGGGCGCGGCCGCCTCGGGTTTGTCAGGCGGAGAGGCCTGGCTGGGGCTGTGAGGCCGCGGCATGCAGCGCGGCCCGAGTCCATCAGGGCCCCCGCGGCCTCTCTGTAGGCCGCAGCCCGCATGGCCCGCGCTCAAGTCGGTGAAGTCGGAGAGTCTGTGGCACAGGCGGGATTCGAACCCGGGTGGAGGCGACGGGCCTCGATGTCGGCGCCCGCAGGCCTCGGGAGCGCTGTCCCCCGGGCCGCGTCGTCGAGGGTCTCCCTGTGGTGTGGACTCCCCACCCCCGTTGTGGACGCGGACCCCGGGCTCGGGATGGGACAAGCTGTGGCTGTGGTTCGCGCGGACTCAGCGCCGGAGCCTGCTGGCTTTCTGGGGTCCTGGTGCGGGGCGCTACGCTTCCCCAGGAACGGGCTGTGTGTGGGACCCTGACTCCCCAGTTTCCGACCCTCGCGCTGCACCTTCCAGTCCGCGGACCCTCTGTACTATTAACCAAATGTTAATTTTTTTCCTCTTAAATGACTCTTCCCCCCCTCCCCCACCCCCCGCACACCGTATAATGGAAAGCCAGTTATTTTTCTAATGCTCATAAAGAAAAAATAAATACCTGTCAATTAAAATAAACACTGTGTCCTTGTTCTCCTGAAGTTGTGCGTTCCACGCTTTGGGAACCCTGCCATTAATTGTCGTGCTATGGCTTTCACTCTGCATAGAATGTTTTCCCTGAGGCATAACGGATCATGTGAAATGCCCTGGAATCTTACAGGAGGATGGTTAATCTAAGCTTACTCGTTGTAAACTGTTGCTGTTCCTGACTTAGAAGTGTTGGTCCAGGGAGCTGCAGGAACCATCGCTCAGATGCTCCCCCTGTGCCTGCTAGGTTCTCATACTGCGTTGTGATGTGGCAGTCCCTTGGCAGTTCGTAACAAGATGCTTCTGCAGACCCTGACGGCTTTTGACAACCCTACATCTAATGTTTGAGTATCAGTCTGTGTGTGAAAAGTAACCGTGTGTCAACTTTTTGAAACAAAGCCCAAGTTTTGCCTTGAGGGGCTTGGAGCTCCCTTGACCAGAGGTTAACATGGATTTCTTCCTTCTTTCTTTGCCTTTCCTTGAGCTCATCTTTCACCCTTTGTATGTGCTTTGGGACCTCTGACACATGGATGCTCTTAACCTAAAATGTAGAAACTTATTTTCCCTGTAGAATGTGCTGGAGAGCCAGACCACATTGCAAGGCTCAATGGAAGGCGTTTTTCTAGATATAAGCGCTCTATGTTGCATGCCTGTGAGGACATGTTTAAAGGAAGCACTGACAGATTAACTGACTTTTAAGTCAATAGTCTGTTCATAAGTTCTGCTTTTTAAAAGTGTGAGAAGTTTAATTCTTGAAACTCAAAGTCAACTCAGGCCATTCAAGATCCCCCACTGCTGAAGGCTATATAAGACAAAAAAATGTTCATATTCTTCAGGGGTGACCTTGGTATGATCACAGTGTAGAACTTAACATAAGGTAATTTTCTTCAGATTTCTAAGCAGCAATCCTGTGAAGAGAAAAAATAATTTTATTTTACTCAGGAGTCCATTTCAGAACTTCAACAAATGGAGCTTCATCTACCAGTTTGCAACGCTAAAAATAAACATATTTTGGAAAGGCTTAGGAGTCTCATGAGAAAAGTTTTGATATGAAACTTCATTTTAAATAACCATTGCAAGCATCCCATGTCTATGGCCTGCAGATGGCAGTGCCTTTATAAGCTTGTTACTATGGTGAGACTTGGGATTTAGTTATATGCTTTTAAGAATGGAAAAAAAAAACAAAAACAAAACTTAAGAAAACCTTTGGGAAAGTTTTATTTAGTTTTTTAGTCCCTTCAGTTTATATTGTTCTCCTGGTTTGGCTTGGGTTTGGGCTTGCTTTTTTGGGAGCCAACGGCCATAAACTGGCTATGTAGACCAGGCTAGCCTCAATTTCCCTGAGCTCCACCTACCTCTGCCTCCCAAGTACTGGGATTAAAGGCTGGTGCCACCAGGCTGTTTTGCTTTTGATCCCCCACATGAAAATGTTCTCTGTATTCTAAACTCATTGTTGACTCTTCAGTTGCATTGGCCACCTACACAGTTGTCCTGGCTGCTGGCAGTACACATGGTAAACACCAGCTCATTTGCTCCTGTCGTTTTGTGAGATGGATTGGTATTGCTATATAGGAGGGGTTTTTTTGGGGGGGGGCTGCATATAAGGAAACAAAAGCTCAATAAAGTTAAGATTTGTTGCTCAAATCCTGCATCTATTGGAAATAAAAGATTCATAGGCAAAACTAGGAGATGTTGAGGTATAGTGGTATCCTTACTTGAGAAATTCTGAGGCCTCTGCTAACCATGTGCAGTGCAGATGTCCAAGAGAAGACCATCTTGTTACACCTTTCTTCACTGTCTTCCCATGAGCACCTTCAGTTATTAGTCTTCACCCAAAAGCCCTGCTCTTTCTACTACACTGCTGCTTCTTTGTACCTTGTGGTTTGTTAGTGGTTTCCATGTGTCTCTGAGACCAATGCTTTTAAAGCTCAGTGTCAGCTTTTTTGTGTGCCAAGACTTGTCCTGTGAACACCATACACGTGTATAGACTGTATACTTGAAGTACAGTTAAAAGGGCAGTATCCAACAGAAAACTACCCTCTCATTTTTTTAATTAAAAAAAAAATTATGTGTATGATTGTATTGCCTGAATGTATGTAAGTGCACCCCTGTTGAGCAATGCCTGAGGAGGTCAGAAGAGGGTGTCAGATTCCCTGGAACTGGAGTTACAGATGATTATTAGCCACCTCATGTGGGTACTGGGAATTGAACCCAGGTCCTCTGCAAGAACAGCCAGTGCTCTTAACCACTGAGCTATCTCTCTAGCCCCTGTTACTCTCATTAATAGAGGCATTAATGAAAAGATAAAGGTAAGGTTCATGTGTGAAGCAACCATACATGAGGGAGATATGAAGCCTGCTGACAGCCAAATATATACTAACATGCCTGCTGCTTTTTACATGATAGTTTTATTACTGATATGAATGTTTATAGAGATGGTCATTTTCATTCTGTATCCCATCACTGAAAACTTAAAAGCTAATAGGTCAAATTGGACCAATTATTTTTATGTTAATTCCCTTTGTAAGAATCAGAACTTTCCCACTTCTCAGGACTAGACTCTCTACCTTTATGTGTATACAACACTGTTGAACTAATAAAAAGACCAGTAATTTAGGCAAGAATCAGTGCTGCTTAGTTACTTATGTTGAAGAAGGGAGGTCACACTTTACCTTTAGTGGCCCCTTTGCTCTGAGATGATTGACTTAATTACTAAAGATTAGGTTAGTCTTGTAGTTAGTGGGCAAAATATCGAGAATTTTGAATTATAAGTATTTTGACCTTGCATTTACACAATTGGCGATGGAGATAGTTATAATATGTATTTACGGTGAGACATGATACAAGAAGTTTTTTTTTTTTTTTCTCCCAGGATTATTTTTCATATCCAGAAGAAAAAATAGGAAAATATAAAGCTTACAACTAAAATATGTAACTAAATCTCTTGAAGCCCTTTGGAACACTAACCTTAGAACGGCATGAATCACAATTTTGTCCATGAGGCAGTGAGATGGCTCATAAGGTAAATGTAAGCCACTGCCAAACCAGAAGACCTGAGTTCAATCCCCTGGACCCACATGGTAGGAGAGCACCATTTCCCATAAGTTGTTCTCAGACCTCCATACACACATCATGGCACATGTGTTCCCACACACATAATATATATAGACACACATATAAATAATAAGAAATTTAAAATGTCACCTTGGAATTGGAGAGATGGCTCAGCAGTTAAGAGCACTGACTGCTCTTGCAGAGGGTTCAAATCCTAGCACCCACATGGCAGCTAACAACCATCTGTGATTCTAGTTCCAGGGGATCCAACACCATCTTCTGACCTCCAAGAGCATTGTACAACACAGGTGCATTTATATACATGCAAGCAATATACTCATAAGGTAAAAATAACATTTTTTTAAAATTTTTCATGTGTATGAGTCATTGCCTGCATACATGTAAGTGCACATGGAGATCAGAAGAGGGTATCGGATCCCCTGGTACTGGAGTTACAGATAGTTGTTAGCTATTATGTGGGTGCTGGGAGTCGAACCGAGGTCCTCTGCACGAGCAGGCAGTGCTTTTACCCCTGCGCCATCTCTCCAGCCCATAAAATATTTTTTAAACAGTATCATCTCTTGGGTTGTAGAGATGACTCAGCAGTGAAGAGAACATGCTGCTCTTCCAGAGGACCTAAGTTCAATTCCTAGCACCCACATCAGGTGACTCCAGGTGCCTGTAACTCCAGCTCCAAGAGATCCAACACCTCTGGGCTCTGTCACATGCATATAATACACAATTAAAATCTCTTTTAAAATGTTTTTTTCATTTCAGGGCTCAGTACATAGCTCAGTAATGAAGTTCTTGCCTAGTGTGCATTATGCCCTGGGCTCAGTCCCCAGCATCACTAAAAATAAATCAGGCAAATAAATAAATAAATAAATAAACAAACAAATAAATAAAATGACTCAGCTGGAATTCTAGGATATAATAAATAAATAAATAAATACGTGATCCTCAAAAAAAAACCAGTGTCAACAGAATGTATTGGAAATACAGATTCCAGGATACAGTTCACTATCCCCCACTCTGAAATGACCAATCTATGGAGATGAAGTCCAGGGATTTTCCCTTTCAAAAGCACCCTGAGGGGTTTTATGTATACTAGAGTTGGAAAACCTCTGATATGTACTTTTAAAAAGTGAGTTTTGGGGCTCAACGGCTA